TGTTTCAACTCTTAGGAAAGCCCTTAAATCCAGTACCTAAAAGTACTGAGAAAAGGGGTCAGTCAAGAAGTCAAAGCCCCTTCCTAGGAAATGCACTAGAACGTCAAGGAACAGCATTCACAGGAAAGGAAGAGCAGGCTGCACACTATTAGGAACTGAATCTGTTCATAAAGGAAGGAAGCAGGAACAGCCTGAGGGAGCATGCCACCCAGTCAGTCGAGGGGACCCACACACACTGCCTCAGAAGCTGACCACATGATGGGACACACACTTCCCTAGCAGCTGACCTAGCAGCTGAACCTCCACACCCTGTGTCATACAGGTCAGACAGGCATTATCTCTGACATCAGTGAAAGCAGGGGACTGCAAGCTGCCAGTGTGAGCCTTGCAGCTAGCACTGCAGAAGGGCAGGACATGAGCAGGCAAATGAGGTCCTGTTAATCAGGAGGGGTAAGAGGTATGGCACACACACACACACACACACACACACACACACAGAGAGAGAGAGAGAGAGAGAGAGAGAGAGAGAGAGAGAGAGAGAGAGAGAGAGAGAGAGAGAGAGAGAGAGAGAGAGACCGGTGCAAGAAAAGCCTATGATCCAATAGTCTAAAACCAAAAAAGTTCACTCTCGACAAAATGAAAATAAGCAAATCTAAAAAGCATGGAAAGGAAATATGTGCAGATGCCTCACAAAGAAAAAAGATAATGAAAGTCACTGAAGGAGAGTGCCCTTCCCCATTCTGAATGCTGGATGCTTCTAAGGGATTTTTTCATCTGGAGTCTGTCTCTGTGTTTCTATGAAACCTGGAAAAACTCTTTAGTACTACTTGTATCTTGAGGAAAAAGTAAACAAGAACAGAAGCAATCTCAGGTCCTGGGAGGGAAGGCAGTCACTGAGTGAGAACAACTCCCAGGACAGGAACAGTTCTAGACACCAACCAATGAAAGGACACATGGACCAGAAGACAGCCTGAAATGAAGCAGAAAGGCGGAAGACAAAATAATAATAATAATAATAATAATAATAATAATAATAATAATAATAGACAGATTAAATGCTAATAGATACTAAGCAGGAAGAATTCCAGAGCAATAGAAAAAAAGTAGCACTTGAAGACCCTTGTGTCAGAACCAGAAATAGGAGTCGGCACATGCAAGCATAAGTAGAATAAGGTGTGGGTCTGAGGTAGGAAAACACAGAAGGAACATGGCAGGCACTGGCTCTGCTTCTGGTGCCTCCCTTGCACAGTAGAGTACTGTGGAGAGAAAACAAGGAAATGGAGACACTTGGTTCCTATGAATGGATCTCTGTGTGCATGGATGCAGCAGCTGGTGTGGGCCTTATGCCCAGCAGAAGGTGAGTGGCACAGTATTGGGATAGAATGAGGAGGAAGCTGCCTCTTCTGCTGGCTGTCTTGGTGCCTACTTCCATGCTTTAGTCAGAAGCTATACTCAAGAGGTCCCTCTGGCCAGAGCAGAAGCCCCCGGGAGTAGGGAGATGCCCATGCTCAGTGGTAATGATGAGGCAGGCCTGGGAATATGCATTCCCCTGTTCCTGTTTCAATTCCTGCATAGACAGGTCTCCCTTTAAGGCTGCTGTGGCTTGGGATGCTAAAAACAAAGAATCAGTGTGAGGCCTCAGTCCAGCAGGGGTGATCCTCCTCTTGTATTGGGGCAGAGAAATATGTTTCCCACCTACAATCCACCTTCCACCTCCATGTCCCCACTTAATCATGAGGTTCCCCTCCAGAGGGACTACTGGCAATTGTGGGGAGAAAGGGGGACATTGCTTTCTTTAGTGATGCAGCCACAGACAGCTGCCCTTGCTCCACTAAATAAACTCTCACTTTGCTTGGGCAAGAAAATCTTCCTAAACTCAGTGGCCAAACAACAGAAGACATGAAAGTAGGAGAAATGGCCTCAGGGGCTCCTCCCCCACCCGTAATGAAAAGTTGTCAGGCCTAATCTTGAGCAGGACTTGCTGAGAAGAAGAGCTCCATGGGAGGAAGGGGATGAGGAAAAAAAAAAAATGGGGATGATGATGTTTAAGTTTCATTATCTTTCAACATAGGGGAAGCAGGGAGAAGGCCACTTAAGACTGTACTGTTTTGTCATCTTACTGTAAACTTGTAATAAAGCTTGTGGTAGAGTGTTTGACCAGCATGCACTGGGTTCCATGCTCAGCACTACAAAATAAATATATGAACAGCACACACTATAATGTGAAGGAAAACTCAACACAATTTTATCTTGCTGATATATAAAACCCTGAATAACATAATACACAAATGGCAGTCTTCTACACACCATCATCCAGGTTGTACCAGCACCATTTGTTGAAGATGCTTTCTTCCTTCCATTGTATAATTTTAGCTATTTTGTTGAAAATCAGGTGTTTATAGGTATGTGGGTTAATATCAGGATTTTTGATTCAATTCCTTTGGTTTACCTGTCTATTTTTGTGTCAATGCCAAGCTGTTTTCAGGACTATAGCTCTATCGTAGAGCTTAAAGTCAGGAATGGTAATGCCTCCTGAAGTTATTTTATTGTATAGGGTTGTTTTGGCTATCCTGGGTCTTTTGTTTTTCCATATAAAGTTGATTATTATCCTTTCAAGATCAGTGAAGAATTGCGATGAGATTTTGATGGGGATTGCATTGAATCTGTAGATAGCTTTTGACAAGATTGCCATTTTTACTATGTTTATCCTACCTATCCAAGAGCATGGAAGATCTTTCCATTTTCTGGAATCTTCTTTAATTTCTTTCATTAAAGACTCAAAGTTCTTATTATATAGGTCTTTCACTTGTTTGATAAGTGTTACCCCAAGATACTTTATGTTGTTTGTGGCTATTGTAAAGGGTGATGTTTCTCTGATTTCTTTCTCAGCCCCATTATCGTCTGTATATAGTAGGGCTACTCTTTTTTTTTTTTTTTTTTTTTTTAGTTAATCTTGTATCCTGCTAATTTGCTGAAGGTGTTTACTAGCTGTAGGAGTTCCCTGGTAGAGTTTTTTGGGCACTTATGTAAACTATCATATTATTTGCAAATAGTGACAGTTTGACTTCTTCCTTTCCAATTTGTATCCCCTTGATCTCCTTTTATTGTCTTATGATGGTGTGTAGAAGACTGCAGATAGACCCACGTCTATCGCCATACACAAAACTTAAGTCCAAATGGATCAAAGACCTCAACATAAATCCAGCCACACTAAACCTCTTAGAAGAGAAAGTGGGAGGTACCCTTGAATGAATTGGTACAGAAAACTGCTTCCTGAACATAACACCAATAGAACAGACACTGAAACAAATGGGACCTTCTCAAACTGAGAAGCTTCTGTAAGGCAAAGGACACAGTTGACAAGACCAAACAGCAGCCCACAGATTTCACCAATCCCACTTCTGACAGAGGGCTGATCTCCAAAATATACAAAGAACTCAAGAAACTAGTCACTGAAACACCAAATAACCCTATTAAAAAGTGGGGTTCAGAACTGTTGGTGGGAGTGCAAACTTGTACAGCCATTTTGGAGATCAGTATGGCAGTTCCTCAGGAAAATGGGAATCAGTCTACCACAGGACCACTCTTAGGCATATACCCAAATGATCCACATCAATGCAACAAAGACATGTGCTCAACTATGTTCATAGCAGCATTATTTGTAGTAGCAAGAACCTGGAAGCAACCTAGATGCCCCTCAACTGAAGAATGGATGAAGAATATGTGATAAATTTACACAATGGAATACTACTCAGCGGATAAAACAATGGAATCTTGAAATTCACAGGCAAATGGATGGAACAAGAAGAAACCATCCTGAGTGAAGTAACCCAGTCACAGAAAGACAAACATGGTATGTACTCACTCGTATATGGATTTTAGACATAGAGCAAAAGCAGCCTATAAGTCACACTGTCAGAGAAACTAGGATAGAACAAGGAACCTAAGAGATTCATACAAGGTCCCACAGAAGGAGAAAGGAACAAGATCCCCTGAGTATATTGGGAACAGGGGAGCAGTGAGTGGAGAGGTGGGGAGGGAGTTAGGAGAAGAGAAGGGGAGAAAAGGAGAACATGTGGACCAGGAAGATTGAGTTGGGGGGATGAAATAGAGGACAGAAAAAAAAAAAAAGGAGAGATCTATAATAGAGGGAGCCATTATAGGTTTGAAGAGGTAACTGACTCTAGAGAAATCTCCAGAGACCTACAAGGATGACCCTAACAATCTGAGCAACAGTGCAGAGGCTACCTTAAATGCCCTTCCCTGATAATGAGATTGATATCTAATGTATATGCCATCATAGAGTCCTCATCTAGTAACCGATGGAAACAGAAGCAGACACCCACAGCTAAACATTGAGCTGAACTCCTGGAATCCAGCTGCAGAGAGGGAGGAGAGATAAGAAAAGGGGTCAAGACCAGGCTTCAGAAACCCACAGACAGCTGACCTGACCAAAGGGGAGCTCATGAACCCCCAGACTGTAATTGGGAAACCAGCATTGTACTGACTCAGACCCCCTGAACATGGGTCTCAGTTAGAAGGCCTGGGCAGTCTAAGGGACTTCTGACAGTGGAACCAGGATGTATCCCTGGTGTAAGAACAGACTTTGGGAGCCCATTTCCCATGGAGGGATACTCCCTTAGCCTAGAGACAGGAGGGAGGGCCTAGACCCTATTCCAAATGACCTGACAGATTTTGATGATCCCTCCTGGAAGGCATCACCCTCCCTATGCAATGAGGGGGATAGGAAGGGGGATTCAGGATACATGTGAGGGAGGGAGAGGGAACTGAGATCGATAAGTAAAATAAGAAAAAATAAAAAATAAAAACCACAAATGGCAGGTACAGTTTATCTTTCAGTTCATGAGATGGGGAAGATGGACCAGGAAGGCAGCCTTGCAGACACTTTTGACCTGCAGAGCTACAAAGGAATGCACTCAGATTTTAATGCATGTGTTTGGTTACCTGGTACAGTGGTGAAGGGAACTGGAGCATCTCACCTCTGTTGATTTCCATGTCTTCATCCTAAGTGGAGGAGAGTCCTTGGCCAGAGAGGAACCAGGAGGCGAGGGGCTGTCCTGGAACTGTTCCAGCCTCAGCCTTGCCTTGGAGGTATTTTCTGTCAACAACATAACGCTGAAATTTTACTATGGCAAAAGATTTTTATTTTTGGATTTGTATATAACTTTAGTTATTTCTAAAGATTAATTCTGCCTACTAAATACACATCATACACCATGCCCATCTCTGAGGATAGACTACTTACAACATTAGTAAGCCCAGAGGGATTTAAAAACTACCGTTTGAAGTCCTTGGCCCTGTCCTATCTTAGCAAATCTGTTTTGTTTTATCATCTGAGGTATTTTAAAAATAATGTAAAATGTAATGATAGCTATAGTGTAACACATGGCATCATCATATAACAAACTAAAAGCTCAAAAGGTAAAAACTACTCAAAGGAAATTTTACATTGCAAGAATGATGACTCTAATTAGAATATTTATAGAATCTTAATCCTACAAAGTGAATCTCATGTGTTCAGTATGGGAGGAACAGATCAGAAAAGTATAGATTATTTGAAGAGGCAAATAAACCTTTAATGTAAAAGAAGAAATTTCAGCATAAAAGAGAAAATACACTAATGAAAATGAACTGGTGTGTCTGTTTATGTTTATTATATTTAGCATTATTTTTCAGTTTTAATATCCTTCACCTTCCTGAGTTAGTTATTGTCCATTAGCACCAGCTCTAAAGGTGAACCTTTAGGCCAGGATGCAGCTAGGTTGTAAATACCCAGCATACATGAGCACTAAAAAAAGAGATGCCTGAAAGTATCAGTGCTACTCTACCCTGGCATGCTACAGTAGACAATAAGAGGTATAAGACAGCTGTCTTTGTATTGGTGTCTGCACATTTGTGGGGGAGCACAAGTGTCCCCGGAGGGGCTAAGATCACACTGACCTTTTTTAAAGGAATCAGTTTCCAGTTCTGCAACATCTGTAGATCTTTCTGCCAAAAGCTCATCTGCCTGAAAGGGCTTGGTCAATTCTTTCCTCTTGGCCATTCATAACTCCTGCTACTTCACAAAGCAAAGATATATCCTTCATCCACTTTGTGAATGGGTCTTTCTTCCCCAAACATAAAGTACCAATAGTAGGAACAGCAAAACAAGCAAGCCACCTCAAGAAGACCTCCTTTAGACAAGACAGGGAAGATGCAGCATCTTGTCCCATACATAGCCTTTTGAAGGCAAAGTAATGGCAATATGGGATATTTACACTGATCCATACCAGGACACCTGATATTCAGAAAAACTATATCATAGCATGGAGCAGCAGAACAGGTGACCAATTTCACTTAACATCCATTTGCTTTCCATTCCCAACTACAGTCAAAGAATGCATCACTCCTAAGGAAGACTTCCCTGAGAGCAGAGTAATGAAAGCCTGGCTGTATGTGTGGTGGGGAGGCATCTTTATGTTATCAGTGCAACAGTTCTCAAGGCTCTGAGCTGGCGATAGCCACCTTAGGAAAGGGTTTAAGCGTCTCATGGCAGCATGCTGTCTCATGCCCAATATCTTAGCATTGAGGAGGCAGAGGCAGGAGGACCCTGAGTTCAGGGCCAGTGCCTGCTACATACAAATTCTAAGGCCAGATTTGTCTCCAGGAGACACCCCCACAAAAAAAGCAGGCAAGATGGCTTAGCGGGTAAAGGCACCACAAGCTGTTCTCTGACCCTCCTCACATGCTATGGCATGCATGGGCACATATACACTTACATTCCCAAAATAAGTAAATAAAAATGTAATAATTGTAAAGGATGTAGAGATTTGAAGGTTGTCTTAGTTAGGGTTTCTATTGCTGTGAAGAGACACCATGACCACAGCAACTCTTACAAAGGAAAACATTTAATTGGAGCTGGGTTACAGTTCAAAGGTTTAGTCATTTTCATCATGGTGGCATGAAGGCAGACATGGTGCTAGAGAAGGAGTTGAGAGTTCTACATCTTGATCCACAAGCGGCAGGAGACTGTGTACATTTAAGACCTCAAAACCCACCTCCACAGTGACACACTTCCTCTAACAAGGTCAAACCTACTCTAACACCTCCTAATAGTGCTGTTCCTTATGGGCCAAGCATTCAAACACATTAGTCTATGAGGACTATCTAAACTACCACAAAAGAAATAGGAGAAAATGCCTATACTTATTAAAATAAATAAGACATTTCATGAAGAAAAAGGCCACTTGAAATCCAATTCAATTTATTGTTTTGACAATGAGGTTGCATTTGCCAAGTAGATTATATGGTAGGTATTTTCCAAAAATTGCATAAGCCAAATTTGCTGTTTTTAAGAAATGAAAACATTTAACATAAACTATAAAATCAGTTTCTGAAAATTACATTACACTGACAGTTATAAGGAAGTTAGTATTTCATTTCCCTGCAATTTTTGATTTTATTAGGTTTGAGAACAAGTTTAATTAATAGTTGATACATTTTAGTAAAGTATTTTTGTATATTCCCAGAAACCGAAAAAGTGAATTACTCCTAATGACTATTTAGAAAAATCTTTCCCTAAACAATGTGTTCCCAACTCTTTACTTTCAAAAGCATGAAGGAAAGACATTATCAAGTTATAGTTGACAAGAAATAGGAAATGTTTCTATAATAAGTCACTAGGTAATTGTTGGCACGCTACTTGGAAGAAATTCATAGGACTGATTGACAGTGCTACAATAAAGTACCTTCTAGTGCTGGCTATGATTTAAGTGAACAAGTTTTTGAGCACTTATATCTATAAAAATCATGAAATAAAATGGACGCTGTGTCGTGCTTACAGAGAGCAATGAGTGGTATTCATATGTGGGAGAATGGTCGCTCTTAGTTCATAAAAGCATGTGTTTCCAATTAAGTTGGATTCTTTATGTGTGATAAGTAGTTATAAGGATGTACTATGAGTTCAGTGGTTTTGATAGATTGTGTACGAGAAGGCAGTTTAGCCTGGCATGATGGAGGCATATCTGTAAACCCCTACTTGGGCAGAGACAGCAGAAAGGCTAAGTTTGAAGTCAGCCTGGATATCCAGCCTGGACTCTACAGTGAGATTCTGCCACAAAAACACAATTTATGTATGTATTTGGTATTTTGAAAGGACTTTCAAACATGAAAATACTACACATAAAGATAAGACTTGCCAGGTGGTGGTGGCACACACCTTCAATCCCAGCACTCAGGAGGCAGTGGCAGATGAATCTCTGTGAATTCAAGGCCAGCCTGGTCTACAGAGAGAGAGTTCCAGAACAGCCAAGGCTGTTCACAGAGGCTACACAAGGCTACACAGAGAAACCCTGTCTCAAAAAACCAAACCCCCCTTCAAAAAAAAAAAAAAAAAAAAAAAAAAAAAGGTAAGACTCAGTGAGGGATGTGAAATAAAATCTGACATCACCGAGGCAAAGGAAATGACATAGAGTTTCCATAGTTAAAACCCTGTATTTTAAGTGAACAACTGCAGGTCTCAATCCTACAGTCCTTACACACCTTAAGATGTAAGAGGGAGTGGAGACAGCAGTCAGTGGGCAAGCGCACGCACTGCTATTGCAGAAACCTGCGTTTGGTGGCCAGCACCCACATTGGGTGGCACACAGCAGCCTGTAACTCCAACTCCAGGAACTAAAGTCCTCTTCTGGTCACCACTAACACTCATTGATGTACACAAACCCACACAGAGACACACAAAGATACTGGACATTGCACTGGGTATTATCCATGCTAAGCAAGAGCTCTTTGTATTTTATTTTGAGACTGTTTCACTGTGTCATTCAGGCTCGCCTTGAACTCTTGAAGCCCTTGTTTCAGCCTCCTTAGTAGCTGGGATTACAGGTGTCTTAGTTAGGGTTTCTATTGCTATGAAGAGCCTCCATGACCACAGCAACTCTTATGAAGAAAAGCATTTAATTAGAGCTAGTTCACTGGGGCTATTTTCTTTCAAAACTCAAAAGGTATATGCCATTGTGCCAGGCTTATCTTTCTTTTTTTCTTTTTTCTTTTATGTCTATATTTATAACATGTCAGACTTTATAGTTATTTACTTTTATAAAACTCCACATTTGAGCCCCCAAATTTGTGAGAAGTATATGTCTGGGATCATACGAGAAAAATGCCTTAGAAGAAATAGGTCTGCATGAGACAGGCTCTGCCTTCAGGAAGCCTGACAGGAAGTTAAGCCCTGCACACAGATAAGTTTATGGGGGAAGAACTGACTTTCCTAACTAACTACTGGAGAGTCTCAGATAGAGGTGAAACTGGAAGAGGCTTTAGGGGTGGTATGCATACCAGTAAAAACAGAAGACAGAAATTATTTCTGGCAAAAGGAACCACTTGGGCACAAGGCACAAGAATAGTAGGTGCCAGAGCCTGAAGAAATAACAAGGACTTTTCATTTACACTTGTAGCTTTTCATTTTGTTGTAACCTTACATGAAAATGAATAATTGAAATGGCCTTATTTTTGACTTGGAGATTTTCTAATTAATCCTGGCAAACAGTGGAAACCGGAGTTTCCATCATCTAGCTTTTTTCTGTAGGTTTAATCAGAAACTATAACGATTGCTCCTTCAATATTCAGCAGCAAAATTATCTCTGAAATGACATGAGCAGCACAGGAGTAGATTAATAAGCATTTCGGAAGGTTCCTTCTGAGGAAACTGTGAGAGAAGTCAAGCTCAGAACAACTCACGAAGGGAAAACCTCATGCATGTTTTGAGATGCCTTCTGGCCCAGAATCACCCCATCTCATTTCACTTCTGTTGCTGTAACCTTAGAGAGAGAGAGAGAGAGAGAGAGAGAGAGAGAGAGAGGGAAGAAAGAGTATCTGGGTTACAATTCCATATCATAGCCCATCATTAAGGGGAAGTCAAGGCAGGAAGTTAAGTAGCAGCTTGTCACATCACAGCCATAGCCGAGAGCAGAGAAATGAAAGCACTTGCACAGTGAGTTTTTTTCACTTTTATATAGCTCAGAACCCATCCTAGGCCATGGCACTGCCCACAAAGGGTGGATCTCCCCACTTCAATTAAAAAGCAAGACAGTCCTTCTCAGACAGGCCCATGGGCTAACC